AATGCTCTACATCCGAATCACCCCCACCCAGCCCTGCCATCCCTTTCTGCTCCCCACCTCAGAAGGTGCGCTTTTCAGATGCCACATTTTGTGTATTTTAGGCATCTGCTCAGACCTCTGAGGATATGTTTAAAAAGTATCTTTTTCTGATTTATGTTTATTTTGTTCAACATCATCTTCATGTGGTGAACATCTAATTTAAAGTGACAGGTTATTTTAGTCTAATTTTTGGGTAAAAATGGAAATGAAGAGAAGGTGAGGAGTACAAGGGCTGCACACAATGAGAATTCTGTTGGATCAGAGGAGACACTGGGCTAGGTTATCTTTTTGTGTTTCCGGTCTTGTTTAATAAGCAGCAATTCGTGTATATATATATATGGATATTTTTACATAGTTACAAACATTGTTTATTGAGCTGTACTCTTAGGGGTTGAGTACACATAAGAATTTTCCTGCAAAATCCACCTTGTTCAGATTATTCACAACAGTTTGCTTCAGAGGTATTTTGTCATCTTGGAAATTATTCACTCTTCCTGAAATATCCAGACAATTCGAATTCCAACGGTTATGCTTTTATTTCCAGAGGTTATATGTGGTTTTATTATTAAAAAATTCATGGTAATAAGCACTGATAGTTTGTTTTTTTGTGTTTTAATTCTTTATTTTAGTTAAAAATAAATTTAGTAGGTAAGCCCTTACATTTTCTAAAACAACTTGTATATATTATGTGTTTGAACTTACGATTATTCTAATTTTCTCCCATCATTTTTAACTTCTTGCTTCTCTCTCTATTTTTTTAGTTAGTGCTTATACAGGATGCTAGTTTCCCGCTGTCATTCTGGTTTAGGTGTATGGCATTCTTTGATCTTTCCCCTCACCCATTACTCTCTTCTTCCTTTTTCTCCTCCCCCCATCTACTTCCTCATCTCTAATGTTCTGCCTTCTGCTTTTCTGCTCCCACTACTTCTTCCTCTCCTCTTCCTCCTCCTCCTGTTCCCTTCTCTTCTTCTTCTGTTCCTCATGTAAGAGAAAACACAATATTTAACTTTCTCCCTTTGGCGTATTTGCTTAACATAACGGTCTCCAGTTCTGTCCATTTTCCTGCAAATGACGTGGTTCTGTTCTTCCTTATGATACTCCATGTCATATTTTTTCAGTGTCATATTTTTTATCCATTCATCTGTTGATGGACACTGAAACTGTTTCCACTCCTTAATTTCTGTGAATTATGCTGCAATAAATATGGTTGTGCAACTATCCCTATAGTATGCTGTCTTTACTTTCTTTTGGGATTATACCCAGGAGTGGTATAGTTGGATCAACTAATATCTCTATTTATAGTCTTTTGAAGAACTTTTGTACTGATTTTTATAGTGATTGTACTATTTATATTCCCATAAATAGTGTAGAATAGTGTAGAAGTGTTCCTTTTCTCCCTGTGTTCTTTTTTTGTTTGTTTGTTTGTTTTTGGTACCAGGGATCAAACTCATGATTTGTACTTACCAGGACAGCCCTTGAACCACTGAGCTAAATCCCTGGCCCCTCTCCCTACATTCTCAACAGCATTTATTGTTTATGTTTTTGTGCTCTTGATGAGAGCCATTCTGGCTGAGTGGAAATCTTTGTAGTTTTGATTTGCATTTCTCAAATAGCTAAATTTCTTAGCTACTTGTCTCATTGTTGAGATAAAATACCTGATACCCCAAATTAAAGGAGGAAGGATCTATTGCAGCTCACAGTTTGTAGAGGCTTCACTCCACAGCTGACTGGCTCCAAGGCAGGGGGGAATTGCAGAGGGGCATCACACAGGAGAAATAGTTCATGGCAGACAGCAAGCAAAAGTCAGCAAAGCACCAGCAAATGACGAGCAACAAGCCCTGAGCACAGCGCTTTCTGTCTCTGTATCTTGCCCAGGCTGCCTGCTGTAGCACTTACAACCTTAATTCTAGCGTCACACCATGAATCAATCCCAGCATCGTGTCCTTGAGCCCAGCGGCACACACCCTAAATCCAGCCACCTCTAAAAAGCCCTACCTCTGACCACTTGAGGCCCAGGGAAGACATCTAGGCACAAGCTGTACCACTAAAGATAGTGAACATTTTATTGGTCATTCTTCTTTTGAAAAATGTCTGTTTGATTCAGCTGCCCATTTACTGAGTGATTCCTTTGGTGTTCTGTTTTTTTGAATTCTTTATATAATCTATATACTAATCCTCTGCCAGAGAGTAGCTGGGAAGGCCTTCCACTCTTTAGTCTGTCTCTTCATTTTTTTTATTGTTTCTTTGCTGTGCAAAAATCACATTAAAAACATTTTTACACTTAGATAACAGTTACCTCTTTGATGCCAGTTTTAGAGAAATTCTAGGTTTCCTCTCTTCTCTTTTGCTAATTTTTTTTTTTTTTTTTTTTTTTTTTGTGGATTTATAACTCTGTGTCCTTGCTCAAGACAAAGGCAGGTAAAGAAGATGTGATTACTTTCTGGGATTTGGTGTTTTTTCTCTTCATATTTTATTTGCAGTTATTTTAAAGTTTGGATAGTCTTTGTTTTCTGTTAAGCAGAAGGTCTGTTTTTTGCACCATGGTGCAATTTATCCTTGTCACTCTGGGTTGTATTTGGAGGATGTGTAGAGAGATGTTGACCTAAACAGTTCTTTTCTTTCTGTATCTCTTTCATTTTTTTTCCTTCCAGTGGTGAGGGTCAAATCTAGAGCTTCACACATTGTAGGAAAAAAAGTAGACTATGCTATATCCCCAGCTCCTGGATGTTTTTTTTTGAGTATTTGAATGGTGGTCTATTAGTTTTCTTCAGTGTTTGTATCCATCACATTTTGACATTGAGCCAAAAGTTTTGATATATGATTCTGTCACAGGTATTTCTATTGTCATTTAGAAAGATAGTGAGTTCAAAGATGTTGAAGACAAGGAAAGAGATAAGATGAAATGATGTCAGGAGATACTTATGAGTGGCATACTTTACTCTGTGATGATATTTTACTATATGATTCTTGTGCATAAATTTTAAAGTTGGTTCGGCTGATTTTTTCCATGTCTTGAACACAAGAATGTGTTACTATAGATGCAGCTCATTAAAACTGAACGATAAACTAGACTATAATGTGATGATTTGTTGGGAGGTAACTTGGTATTACAGACATGAAGGAAACTCAGGTTCTAATACACCTGAAACAGAAATTTTATTACTACAAACTATCTTCTGTGGCTTTGGCTTATTCTTAAGATTTACAGATCTATTTATTAAGCATACCCACGTATGCAATGCACTATTAAGAAGGCATTTACTTTTCACTACAGCTAATTCTCACAGTAATCCTAAAAGGTAGCTGTTATCATCCCAGAGAAGAAGACGAAGGGGAGGCCCTCACAGTTGGTAATTTATCTGAGTTAAAAGGGCAAGCAAATGGCAGAACAGGATTGAAATCTGAGCCGTGGCTCTGAAGTACACATTCCGTGCTCATAGTTGACCTGATGGTGGGCAGAACCGTTTTCATTAGCTTGCTCAGTGTGAGTGTAAACCATTTCTCTAGCTTGCAACGGATTACATTCTCATGGCAGTTGGGGCTGATTCATTCACTAACTTGAAAATATTAGCAGCTGAAGTATTGAGAATTGTGTGGGTCATATGTCTCTAACAAAAATCTGAGATGATCAGTTTAAACAAGGATTTTGGCTCCCCCAGATTTCATTTGATAGTTGATTGACCTTATTGGTTTTGGGCCTGTGGTGAAGCAGAATATCATGGCTGGAATGCATGACAGAAGAGGCTATTTGTTTCATGGCCAGTGTCTCAATATCTCTTCAAGGCTGTGCCCTGAATGATCAATTTCCTCCCACTAGGTCTCGCCTATTACAGGTTCTACCAACTCTCAATAGCAGACTGGTGACCAAGCTTTCAATAGATGGCCTTTGGGAGACACATATCATTGATGGGGTCACGTGCAGCACAGATGCCAGCAGGCCAGACCTGTCACTTAGAAATGACCAAAATGCTCAAGGAACTGGGGGCTTTGGAATGGCAGAACTTCTGGGGAGGCCACTGTTCTGTGAGAAATGGTGCATCCATATCTGTGTCTTGTTGGTGGCTATGCTACCTGGACAGTCACCGTGTAGGTGGAGCTGCCCTGGGCCTGGCTAGGAAGGACACTAGTGTGGCCTCTCTGCCTCACTGAGTCTGCAGCTTGGCTCCAAGGCTTTTGTTTTCCTGCCACTGTAGATGTCACTGTGGTTTGTCTGGAAAGCTCATCTCTAAGAGGTCCAAGATTAACTTGCAGGATATTGGTGGCAGTGGTACCTTTAAAGTGGGAAATTTTACCTGATCATCTCATGTAGATACAAAGTGATTTTTCACAAGTGGTGCTTTTAGAGGAACTTTGAGAATTTGCTGATCAGATGAATGAATGAGAGTCAAATGAGGGAGCTCTGAGACACAACCATTTGTTTTGGCACAGGAAATATTTCTCTTGTGCAATCTCTTAAGAGATTAAGTCAATACAGCCTCTTGCACCATTAGTCACTTGGCTGCTGAATGGACACATGTGCCGTTAGGTGAGTTTTCTTCACAATGAGATCATTAATTCGTAACTTGCTTAGCCCCTCACGATTTCCGCAAGTCATAACACCCCTGGAATTTAACTTTGTTTCCCAGGCCAAAGCATCCCTACAGAGCAGGTCATTCATGCTGCACATGTACATTTTTTGGAAATGTGCTACTACAACTTGCCACATTTTTATGAAATAGTTATCCTTCTAACCTCCTCCAGGAAAATATTTAATGACCATGTGTTACTGACTTAGCTCTCTCTACCTCGCAGTCTTGGTTCCTAATCTGTAAAAAGGAAGGAATTAGGCACTAGGACCTCCAGGGGCCAGTGCAGGCCAAGCTGTATTGGCCTGTGTGCAGGTTTGTCACACTGTCCCTCTGCATGTTGCAGGATGGAGTCTTGGATAATGTCACATCCGCCCTCTGCTGTTCCCCATCCAGGTGTGTGCATGGGCAGCTCTACTCGGCACATTGTGACCTTCGATGGGAAGAACTTCAAGCTGACCGGCAACTGTTCCTACGTCTTGTTTCAAAACAAAGAGCAAGACCTACAGGTGATTCTGCATAATGGTGCCTGCAGCCCTGTGTCTGGACCAACCTGCATGAAGTCCATTGAAGTGAAGCATGAGGGCCTCTCGGTTGAGCTGCACAGCAACATGGAGGTGAGAGGTGCTTCCCATGGTCCCCTGGCAGGCCCCAGCATTTCAGGGAAGCCGCACGGAGCTGGTGGCTGCTGGTTTCAGCTGGTCCTGTTGTAAGGGACACAGCCTTCTGCCTGGTTAATTGAGCACTACATTCTTTTGAAGGGTTTATTGCTTTTCCCTTGTCTTGGCATGGTTTCCTGGTGTTCTGGGCCCAGATTTGGAAGAGTGAGTCAATTTTAGATAGCATTAAATTATGAATTTAGTGCCAGTTTCTGGCATTGGTAGAGAATTGGGGTTGGCACCAGGGCTGCTTCCTGGTAGGCATTATGAGCCCAGTGCCTAAGGCCTGTGAGCTTTCCAAAGGGAAATATTTAGGGCCTAAATCAGGGCCTTTGAAAATATTTAGGGCCTCAAAAAAAATGTATGGCTCCAAAGTTTGAAAAGGAAACTGCCAAAGTGATATAAATAAATGTTTGATTAAATGTTTACAAAAGGTTACATTGTGCCAACTTCTTTACTTGTTCACTTAGACATCATAAATGTTTCATTGTGTGAAAACAACATGTAGGCTAGATTTTCTCACTTTGCAAGAATTTCTGAATATGAACAATAATTGCTGAGAAAATCATAGCTAGTCATATATTAAATGAGTAACTCGTTGCCAAAATATTAAAATCGAAGTGATAAAAAACCCTTCCAAAATTTGTATAGCAAAAGTTATATTCATCGCAGTATATGAATATATTTAAATATGCTCAGTATGATACATGGTGGGGCCTCCAAAGAAAGAGTTTCTGGGGGGACACACACGTAAGCAAAAAGAACTGAAGGAGTCCTGTTAGATGCTCTCGGGGGCTCTTCCCTGATGAGCTGGCAGAATGGCAACTTCCCCAGCCTGTCATGAGGGGGTCACCCTTCCCTTTTGAGTTGCGTGGACTCTGGGTTTCCTGTAACCCCTGGGCTGTCGGGCTCCTGGTGCATGGCTGTCTGTACAGTCTTCTTCCAATCTGTTCTCCTGTCAAACTCAGTGAAGTCCTTTTATTTTTAGAAGAGCTGCTGACAAGCATCTGGGTTTGTGGCCAAGACTGTGGTTGAGGCTGATGAATCTGCAGACACTCAGAACTTCAGAAAGAAGCCGAGAGTGAAGGACCAGAGCTCTTCATTGCTAGGACTGACTGATTTTCTTCCTTGCACAGGTGACAGTGAATGGGAGACTTGTTCCTGTCCCATACATAGGCAACACCATGGAAGTCAGTGTCTATGGCACCATCATGTACGAGGTCAGGTTCAACCATCTTGGCCACATCTTCACATTCACACCACAAAACAATGAATTCCAACTGCAGCTCAGCCCCAAGACCTTTGGTTCAAAGATGTACGGGCTCTGTGGTAAGAACACGCTCTCTGCTCTTCCCACCCCCCCCTTGTAAATCTTGCTGTGGAGTCTCAGGGGTCTTGGGTGGTATATTTTGGGGTCTAGTAGCAAGGTGCAGATCTGGATGGGGATGAAGAGCAGCCAGTACTTGGCATCAGTGGGTTGGTACCTAAGCTGCCAGCTGAGCTTTTCCTTGTATCTCTAGGGATCTGTGATGAGAAGGGGACCAATGACTTCGTGCTGAGGAATGGCTCAGTCACCACGGACTGGAAACCACTCATCCAGGAGTGGACTGTGCAGCAGCCGGGACAGACGTGCCTGCCGGTTCCCGAAGAGCTGTGTCCTGTCTCTGGCAGCTCCCACTGCCAGGTGCTCCTCTCAGCAGTGTTTGCTGAGTGCCACAAAGTGCTTTCGCCTACCACATTTTACACCATCTGCCAGCAGGATGGTTGTCACCAGGAGCGAGTGTGTGAGGTGATTTCCTCCTATGCTCACCTTTGTCGGACCAATGGTGTTTGTGTTGACTGGAGGACACCTGAATTCTGTGGTGAGTCCCCATATGTGTTCCTGCAGATCAGCTAACCGTGGGCTCACCCAACTACATATTCTTTACCTGCCTAGTGAAGATTAAAATCCCTATATTTTCTATACTATAGGATTTCTGTTAGGCCTAAATAAGAGTGTAGATATACATGCACTTTGAATGTATTTCTATATAAATCCAAGCATGGCCTATTTCAGTACAAATATAAATGTAATAATATAAATATATATTTATATAAATTTAATAAATATAAATATTAATTTAATATATTAGACATCAGCAAAGTATTGTATAGCCAGTCGCACTGAATTTGCAATTCTGCCAAGCTGTAGGAAACACTCTCACAGTAGGCTCTACCTGAGCAGAATTTTCAAGTGTGAGTAGAATTTTACCATTAGGTTACTAAGAATCTGTGTTTGTCACTTTCCGATTGTTGAGACAAAATATCCAACACCCACAATTTAAAGGAGGAGAGATGTATAGGCTCATAGTTTCACTGGGTCCAGCCCACAGTTGGCGGGCTCCAAAGCAAAAACAGCATGGTGGGAGGGCCTGGTGGAGGAAGCTGCTAAATCCATGGAGTCAGGAAGCAGAAATAGAAGGCAGGAGCTTGGAACAACACACCCTTCTGGGTCACCCACAATGACCCCCTTCTTTTGACCAAGCCCTACTTCCTAATTGCACATTCAGCTATGAATTCGCCAGTGGATTAATCCACTGATGAGCACAGCACCCCCATGGTCCAGTCACCTTCCAAATGCCCATCTCTGAATACATGAGACTTCTGAGGGACATTTTGGATCTAAACCATTACACTCCTGAATTATAAATACCATAGAATTGCTGGTGTGGCTATTACTTGCTTAAAGTAAACTTTTTTACTTAGAGGTGACATTTATTTATTATTTAAAATGTGGGGACTATCAAACTGAATCACATTTGGGTCCTGCCTTCAAAGGAATATGAGTGACAAAACCTTGAGCAGCTTCATTCTACAGTGAATAATTGTTGACTTTTTTTGTGGTACTGAGGATTGAACCCAGGACTTTCACACTGAGCTGCCATCCCAGGCCATTCACCCTTTTTAAACTTTTAAATAAAATTCTGTATTTTGAGACGGGTCTTGCTAAGAATCTCAGGGCGGGCTTGAGCTTGTGATCTTCCTGTCTCACCATCCTAAAGTATGGAGGTTATACGTGTGTGCCATCATGCCCACTTAACTGCTGACTGCTTTTGAGGGGTGTCTTAGTTACTTTTTACTTGTTACTTAGACAAAATACCCGATGCCCAAATTTGGGAAAGGAAAGGTTTATTTCTTAGTTTTTGGAGGCTTCAGTCCATACTCAGTTGGTTCCCAGGCAGGGTGGCATGGCGGGGCCGCAGTTCATGGTGGCTGCAAACAGCAGGGTGGAAATCAGCAAGAGACACGCCTTCTTCCTGCCGTTATATTACATCCTGGCTCCACCCCTAGGCCAGTGTAGTACTCACACCCCCAATCCAAGCGCTAGACAGTGAACCAATCACAAATGCATAATGCAAAGGCTTGAGGCTTGGGGGCCACTGACATAAACCATGACAAGGGGCATTGGTATGTCCAGGTATGCTGGAGTCATTATCACAGAGTTTTAGCAGCTGAAGTTAAGGCTGCCAACTTGGGCATCCTAGTCTCAGCTCAGTTGGCTGAGACTGGCTGTGCTCTTAATCCTTGTACCCCCAGATTCTGTACTGTAGAACAAGAACACTGGACTGCTGCTTCCTCCTTTCAACCTGCCTGGAGATCAGTGTCAGTTTCTAAGTGATCAAATGTCAGTTTCTAAGTCACTGACAGTACTATCTCTGCCCCTTGATCTCTGTATATTCTGGTTATTTGCTGTGCCAACAGAGAAACCCCCCTGTGCTTTAAATCCTTGGAAACTTTCTTTACCATTCGGAGCATATGAGGGAGTTGCCAAACAGAGTCTAAATGGGAGAAGTGAATCTCTTCGTAGCTTCTCTCTTGGGATAAGTCTTCCTCACTGTGGATTCTTAAATACTTAATTTTAGATGATTTTAAAAGCTTCAAATACATCTGTGTTCCAAAGACATGAAAGAAACAATTGATAAGGACCCACAAATTCATATAACTAGTGATGACTACAATTCTCTGTTGGGTGGATGACCAGAAGGAAGTGAGATTAGCTGATTCTGGCTTCACTTAGCTGTAATCTTTTTCCTCATGGTTTAAAATAGACGTTTAGATATCAAATGCACATTCCAATGAGCATTTGAAGAAGAGGGAAAGGGGACAAAGGGCATGTCTTTTACAAGATCTCTGGAGGCTGTTAAAGGATATTACACTTCCTTTCCCAGTTCATTGACTAGAACTTAGTTATGTGACCATAGTTGCAAAAGAGGTTGGAAACGTGGCCTTTATTCTGGCAGTTGTGTGCCAGCGGAGGGTTCTATTCCTGAGGAAGATGGAGAGAATGACATTGGAGAGCTGGTCATCCCTGATCTAGCAAGTCTGTCCAATGATCCACCGTCTTGTGTCAGCTGTGCCTCTGTTTTCCTCTGGCTGCCACTGAGAGACCTCCTCCTCTGTCTGCAGCGATGGCGTGCCCACCGTCTCTGATGTATAACCACTGTGAGCGTGGCTGTCCCCAGCAGTGTGACGGTGGCAACACAACCTCCTGTGGGGAGCATCCCTCTGAAGGCTGCTTCTGCCCCCCACACCGTGTCCTGTTGGAGGGCAGCTGTGTTCCCGAGGAAGCCTGCACGGAATGTGTTGGGAAGGATGGAGCCCGGCACCAGGTAAGGGCCTGGCCTCTCACTGCCCACATGATGACTTTCCTTTGGCTCAGCCTCTCCCAACTCCTGCAGCAGGATTGACCCATCAGGAAGCCACTGGAGGCAGGGAAGTGCTATTGCATCATGGCTTTGGAGTCTGTAAATCTTGGGTGAAATTTTGGGTCTATCACATGTTAGCTGTGAGAACAAACAACAAAGTGTTATGGTCACATATTAGTATTATTTGTATTACTATATTTATGTACACAGAATGATACAAGCAGAAAAGGGAATAATGTGTTAAGTGGTGGCCCCTGCCAGTAATCAGGTGTATTGTGGGTCCTGATTATGCTAGCCACTATATAGTTTTATTCTCCCTGTTTTTCAAAGGTGTATTTTGCAGAGTACTAACAGTTACTTGTGGCCCAGCAAGCTTAAAAACACTAGCTAAACACAGTGAAGCAAACTTCTTTATTTCATCATGTTTTAGTAGTTTTACTGTACTAATGCACATCCTGGATATTTACGGAGAGTTTTGCTTTTGCAACTTACTTGACCCGTGGCACATATGTGTGTGTTATTCCTGTCGGCTAGGATGCTACAGACTGTGCTAGGATGTGCTACATTCTTATAATACAAAAGCCCTATGAAGAACTAAGACCTAAAGTGCTTAGTAATTTGGCCATGGACACAGTTTGTAAAGGATGGAGTTGGAAGTTGGACTGAGAATTGGATGTTCTCTTGACCCCAAAGATCTTGCTCTTTCTCATATACACCATTGCCCTCTGATACATCTCTTTTGGGTGGATTTGCTTGGGATTCATTGGGCCATCAATCCTGTAAGCTTTTTAGAGTTAATGAGTATACACTGTGGAAGGATATTTATCAAAGTCCCACATCAGGTTACATGGCAGTCTTTTCTCTCCTACATCGATGCCATGTACACTGTAGGATCTCGGGCCTTGTATTTCTGTATGTGCATGGATGGGTATGGTGGTCCTGTGCTGCATCCTGCCAGTGATAAAGACCAAGCATGGTAGATGCAGGAGCCTATTTGGCTTCTAGGAAAGGAGAAGTTTGATGATTGTGGGCTGCATTCAAAACCTGACATTTCCAACATCACCATGGGGGACCTCGATGCCTTACTGTACCAGGTTGAGTGGTTTATTCTTGTATTTAATGATGACTAGAAAACTAACTGACCAGGCTGGAAAATGATGAAAACGATGACTCCAGTTACTACACTGTGCTGTCCCTGGCCGTGTAAGCCAGGATATGTGTCATTTTGTTTGCGTCTCCCCCACGTTCTTTGTATACACATCCCACGAGGAGAAGACTGAGGAGCAGACGTAATAAAGCTGGCATTTGATGTGAGGTGATAAGGCTGGCAGTCAGCACCAGGTCACCGCAGATGGGTACCAGCCCTGCCAGGGACCTCAGTGGAATCAAAGTCTAAACCCCAAGCGAACTAGATGTTTGCAGGCATCTGTTGGAGGGGTCATGTCTGCTCTACTTTAGCTGTTGGGAATCATCCTGGCAGACCCCGTCTGTTCTCACTGTGGAATAGATGAGCCAGGAGGGAAGCCCAGTCATATTCTACTGCCATATTTCAAGTTGCCAAATTAAATAATAGCCTGTACCATAATATTCCCCAAATGAGTAGATGGAACCTTACTTTCCTTTCCCTCATTTGTATAGCTCCGGGGCTCCTGCAGGGCTCAAATGATGTGTAGCATTTACATATGGTGCTGGCACCCAGGGGTAATTCCAAACGGATTTTGCTGCTGGTGGTGAAGTGCTTGCTCTCAGAACAACACTTTCAGAAATGGTCTCTACCCTGTTTCTTGGCATTGGTGAGGAGATGGTAGCTTGGTTGCCGAGAGTTTCTGACTCCAAGAATGTCAGCTGTCTGCAGTGTCCAGAAAGCAGGGAGCTTGTGAATTTTACTTTAATGTCATCCTGTGTCCAGTGCCCCCTACTGCTCTGTGAGTCTGTTGCTCCTTGAGCTGCTCTCCTCACCTTCAATCCAACACATTAGAATAGGCATTCGAGTCCTACAAGGCATCTCTCCAAGTAGTGCAATACTGTGGGTGCTGAAACATTCTTTCTTATAAATATATTTTAAAAATCAAGTAACATGAAATTAATCAAAAAGTTTGTAGTGAGCACAGCCAGTTTTAGTTATTCAGAAAACATAGTTTAAGTGGTTGAAAATAAATATCCAGCCACCTGCAATTTCAACTTCTCCTTTCAAAGTGCAGAAAGAACAAAAACCTAATATAAAGAACATTTCCATTAAATGCATTTTTTAAAACTGGAAAAATCAAGCCCAGAAAGATCTTCCTTCGGGGAAATAAACCAGGGTATAAATCTATTGTCGTTCCTTTGGAGGGGCAAAATATTTACCGGTTTCCATAGCTCTTGTTTATGTCCCAGAGTGCACCCTGACGACGTGAGAGTTCCCAGCTGGCTCAGAAGGGACCCAGAGCCACACAGGTTGTCCCTCTCCCGGCGGAGGGGCTGCTGGTGGTGGGGTGCTGTGGGGCGGGCTGCATCGGAAGCCGATGGCTGCACCGGTCTTCCCGCTCCTGGTCCCAGCCGCGCACGGGCTGACTCGGCGCCGACATCTCCTTTGCATCTTCCGTCTAATCCTCTGCCCGGTGGTGGGTGATGTCTGATGATTTTCTTCCTTGGTCTCTGAAGACATCAGTTTTCCTCTCCTATATTCTCCTCAGGTCATTCTTTGGGACTGCTGTTTAATCTTGAAGTTCAGCAGGTTCCACTACCTGTTCTGGTGGCGCCTCCACCTGGAACCCGGGGGAGACAGGTCCGCAGGCTGCGGCCCTGGGCTGGTGTAGGAGTGCCCTCTGCTGGCCGCTTCCCCGCATAGCCTGACCAGGGCTCTGTAGGGCTCTGGAGCTTTCAGTTAGTTTGGATTGTAGGTGGCTTTGCAGAGGCTATGGGTTCTAAGCCTTGCCTCGGGTGGACTTCCTGGAAAGAAGAAAATCCCTAAAGAGGAAGTGGGGTGACTGCCTTTGGTCATCTCTTGTGGAATTGCACATTCTCAAAATATTTGGAAAAAAATTAAAAAAAAATTTTTTGTGGAACTGAAGATTGAATCCAAGACCTGATGTATGCTAGGCAGGGGCTGCAGCCCCAGCCATAGCGGTTACTTATTCTTGAATTAAGATATCTGATGTCCATATTTAATAAGAGAGGAAAAGAAAACCAAGACGTGCAACCCAGGACTCTTCTCACTGTACCATTTCGACTTCCTGCTTAGGCCTCCCGGTGGCCCTGGGGAGTAACAGATGCTGCCCGCTGTCTGGCTCTCGGTTCCGCCCTGCTTGCCGTCACCGCCTGGGTCTTCACTGGTTGGCCCAACTGCCCACCGCTCTGCCCGGCTATCCCAGCGCCGCTCCACTTGCCCGGATCCTTCTTCAGTACCTTGACTGCCCCCTGCCCCACTGGCAATCCGCCCCTCCTCTTCTTTGTCATGTCTTTCCCGTGTTTCATAGATTCACCTTTGTGAGATGGGGCGTGTCCGGACCTTGTGCAATCTTTTACACTTCTGTAGCTCTTTTATTTTTTATTTGAAACACAGCTTTCTTGACGTATAATGTCCGTACAGCACATACAACCTGATGCATTTTGACATGTGATTACACCCACAAAACCACCATTGTAATCAAGGTAATGAATTTACACCGCTCCCGAAGGCTTATTGTTTTATTGCCAAACCCAGATAACTACAAGTCTACTTCCTGTCATTATAGATTCATTTACGTTTCCTGGAATTTTATATAGATAGAATCAGGCAGGATGTATTTCTTCTTTGCCTGGCTTCCTTCACTTAGCATAAGGCCTTCTGAGATTCATCCATGCAGTGGGGCTTGTGCTTCTTTTCATTTCTGAGTAGTATTCCAGGTTTCATTCCTGATAGTATTCCATTATTTCAGTTTTTGAAGATAAACCTCCTTTCCTCAACTTGACCATCAGCTGTCTGCAGGCTGTGACACTGTTCAGACCTGCAGTGGCTGTGCTGTGTACTAGAGACAGACATAGTACAGCAGCCAGGCCGTGTGTGTGGGGCCAGAATGCTGGGTTCAGACCCTAGTTGTCTTATCCAGGCAAGTTATTTAACCCCTCTATGCCTCAATTTCATTTGTAAACACAGATAATTATAGTACTTACCTGACAGAATCATCACAAGAGAAATAAAGTAGTTAATATGCAGACCTTAGAGAAACACCTGGAACATGTTAATTGTTAGTGAGTGGCAGAATGGTGGTTAACAAAACAGCACACAGCAGGCGCTACTCAAATGCTAGCTGTCACTATCTGTTGAATAAGTGGATGTCAGAGGCAACTCAGAGGGTTTCAGAAGGTCTCATGCTGAAGCGTGACACAGCAGCCTGGGCAAGGGTGTCTCACCAGGAGAGCTGCGATTTCCTTCCTCTCAGCTCGCCGTGGAGGAGTAAGCAATTAGAAACAATTTGTTTCTAAGCTCACCAGCAAAAGGAGTAAGCAAGACTATCGTGATCTGCAGACTAATGCCGGGTCCTTTTGGGGGCTGTTGTGGACCCTGGGGCCCTGGACACCCAAGCAAATGCTCTGCCGCTGAAGTACACTCCTGGTTCCTTAGCTTGGGGATGTGTTAGGAGCCTTAGGGTTATAGATGATAATGTGTTTTTTCAAGAGTAACTTAGCTTGCCTTTCATTTTAAGTTTAAATTTAACCTGGTGACGAGTGTAGCAGGAGACCAAGTCCTAGCTCTGCGCCCCCTATTCATGGAGCTCATCACTCTGTGCCAGAGCACCCTCATCTCACAAGTAAGGAAACTGAGGCATGGAGGAATGAGCCAGACTGGACTCCTGGTATTCCCATAGTGTGTGTGTGTGTGTGTGTGTGGCTATGTGTGCTATCGTGGTGTCAGGGAGAGCTTCCTGCCCTGGGGCTTCTGACTCCCTCGGCTCTGACACTGTGCTGGTTTTAAGAGTTTTGCTGCCCTCCCTCAGCTCTCCCAGCCCATTGTTTTAATTAAGTCAGTTGCAGGCAAAGGCGCAGTTTCCCCGTTTCTGGGTTGGTCTTGGCTTGGCAGAAGGCACAAGGACTCTCTTCTTGCTTACCTTGGTTTCAGCGCCACCATCAGAGCAGGCTGGTGAGAAGTTTTTATTTCCTTTCTTTTTTTCCTTCAATATGTAATTCCACTTATGGGAACCTATTTTAAATATTCAAGCTATTCCAGAAGCCATCATTACACCAATAAAAGGAAATGTCACATATTTACCGTGCTAATTTGCACAACCTCAGGTGTCAGTAAAGTCAAGTCACACACCAATATGGCACCACTGGTTGTGTGCAGTTCTTTCTTTTTTCATCCAGTGCATGTTTGCAGCTGACAGCGAACACATTCATCATGGGGCATGTGCAATGTTCATAACACTTCCTCATTCTGCTTTTGATTCCTCATTAGTTACTTTTCTCATTTCTGAGACAGAATAACTGGCACCCAAAGTTAAAGGAAGAAAGGTTTCTTCAGCTCACAGTTTGAAGAAATTTTAGTCCATGATCGACTGGCTCCAAGGCAGGTGGCATTGAAGAGGAGAAAGAGTGCATGATGGGAAAAGGTAGCAAAGCAACAAGGGGGTGACCACAGCTCTTTCTGTCCCTTATATCTCATCCAGGCTATCAGGGCAGGTGGCACGCACACCCTGAATCCTCGTGCCCTCGACCTAGCACTGCGCCATGGAGCGATCTCAGAATCACACATCCAGCCACCTCTGAAAAAGCCCACCTATGACCACATGAGGTTTTAGGAGGACATCTGGATGCAAACCATAATAGTCCCCTTTTCCATCCCCTCCCTGCAACCTTTTTTACTTCCTCATTAGCAAAAGCTATTTCCATTTTCCTCTCAATTCTTTTTTTCTTTAAATCTATTCTCTCTTCCTTCCCTCCCACATTTCTTATTCCCCTTCCTGTTTGAACAAGTTCCTCCTACTTCCTAATATCTATCTTCCATTTGTTTCTCATACACTGTGATATTTAAACTTGTGTGTCTGATTTATTTCACTTAAGATTATGATCTTGAGGTACATCCACTTACCTGAACTTATCTCAAGGTTATGCTTCTTGGTGGCAGATTATTATTCCACTGTGTATAAAGACAACATTTTCTTTATCCATTCATCTGTTTATGGACATATGGGCTGTTTCTAGGATTTGAGGTTGTAATTTGCTCTTTCGTTTTGTGATTTTCCTATTTCTGTGTTTCAAGTGTTTTTCCAAGGCTTCCCCAGGGTCTGTTGGAAATCCTCTTCTATGCCCTCAGCTCCTGGGACTCTGGCAGGGTCACTGGGGGTGGAACAGGCTGGCTCAAGACCCGCTGAGCTGGTCCAGTACAACAGGAAGCCACGAAGGCCCCTGTCCTGGCCGAGTGAGGGTCCCAAACTAGCTGGTCTCGGGGCATGGTGCAGGGACACTCATCCCAGGCTGCCCAGCTTTTAGAACCAATTTGTTTCTAAGATCTAGGTATTATAAATGGTGCTGATATAAATGTGGGTGTGCATATATCACTATGGTGGATGACTTTAACTCTTTCAGGAAGGTCCCTAAAAGGGGACTAGCTGGGTCAAATGGAACCTCTAGTTTTGGTCTGTGAGGAATCTCCACACTGATTCCCACAGTGGCTGCCCCAATCTACACTCCCACCAACAATGGAAAGGGTTCTGTTTTCCCCTCAGCCTCAGCAGCATTTGTTATCGGTTGGTTTCTTGATGATAGCCACTGTTGCTGGAGTGAGAAGAAATCTCAATGTTTTAATTCACATTTTTTGAATAGGAATGGTGTTGAATATTTTTTCATGCATTTACTGGCTGTGTGCGCTTCTTCATCTGAGAAGTACCTGTTCATTTCAGACGCCCATTTTTGGGTTTTTGAATTTGGGGAATCTAATTGTTTTGAGATCTTTATATATTGTAGATACTAGTTCTCTATCTGGGGAGTAGCTGGCAAAGGTTTTCTCATTCCATGGGTTGTCTCTTCACTCTCTTGGTGGTTTCCTTTGCTGTATAGAAACTCTTTAATTTGATGTGATCCCATTTGTTGATTCTTGGTAATATTTCCTGTGCAACCAGGGTTTTCTTAAGTCTATAGTCTGTCATTTTAGAATGACGTTCAGAGTCTAGTTTGCAAACCAGCCTGGTGATGGACTTTCTGAGGATGCTCTGCCCTCCTGGGCCTCACTGCCCCCTCCATTCTGGCTCCAGCCCACCTGTGCGGCACCAGTAGGGGAGACTCAGGACTGCCCCAGGAAATGAAACCAAGCTGGGGTGGGGCACTGGCTCCCAGGAGCTCCAGAGCTCTGCACCTTGAGTGTCTGTGCTCTCACTAAGTCCCTTTCTCCCTCAGTTCCTGGAATCCTGGGTCCCAGATCACCAGCCCTGCCAGATCTGCACGTGCCTCAGCGGGCGGAAGATCAACTGCACATCCCAGCCCTGCCCCACAGCCCGAGGTGAGCGAGTCTGCTGCCTGGTGTCCCCAGCCCCATTTCCCATGTGGTAGACTGGGTCCCCATGGGGTATAGGGACCAGCCTGTGTTTTCCCTCACTGGAGTCAGGGTCCCATCCTACACCTGGGGTAGACAATCTGAGATCTAAGTCTGTCTCCCTGTCCCCACCTTACACCAGCCTGAGAGTCCCCAGAGGGGAAATTTGAAGGTGTCAAGTAGGACACACTAGGAAGACTCATTTTGTCCTGGTCCCAAGGCCAGGACATCTGTGTGGTGCCCCACACAGGGCCCATGCTGGTTTTCAGTGAATAAGAACATATGAAAGCTTTCTCTAGACTGCATTATTATTTATTTTCTGACTTTTGGGGCCGTGTTTTCCTTGCAGCTCCCACGTGTGGCCAGTGCGAAGTGGCCCGGCTTCGCCAGAGTGGAGACCAGTGCTGTCCAGAGTATGAGTGCGGTAGGTGTTGAGCACCTGCTATCCCAGGGGCCACGCCCAGGCCAGCTCCTGGCACAAATGGTGGGAAAGGAGGTGGGCAAGGGCTGGCAAACTGAAAACAAATCTCTATCAAGTGGGGTCATCTTCCCAGAAAAATTCTAGAGTAGAGTATTACATGCAAAGTTTAAGAGCTTTAGTAAGATCTGAAGACAGAGCTTGATGATGAGGACTGTCTGGCTCCAGGAGTAAGTAAGTACATAAATAATAAAAAGCAGGTGGTGGTTACTGGATGCTGCAGAGATTTACAGATGAAAAAAGTCAATTCAAGTAACCTATTTTGCTTTCTAATAAGATTTCTAGGATACTAGAGGTAGAGGAGTCCATACAAAAGTTATCTTGATTTCAGAGAGTTACATGACAGGTTTTCCAACTACTAAGTCCACAGTGGGGTGACTAATGGTGTAATTCAGTGGGTTCAGCACATTAATCCCTGTCCTGTCAAATGGATTCATTAATTGTTTGGAAGAAGATTCAAAGCATAGGTTTATAAGCTTTTCAGTGATGCTGATCTTCAAGAAAGAGGCAGGAGATCAAGGGTAAGTCCAGAGACCTAGAGAAGTATTCAGTAATCTATGAAATTTATTTAAGCTGATAGAATTTATCAAAAATCAACAGAACTCTTACAGGGGAGGAGATCTGATCTGAGAACAATTTGATGAAGTTGGTCTTAGCAGGTCAGCAGTAGTGAAAACTAGAGGGGCACTTTAACTGAAGCCCCTCATTTTATAGCTGATATTCATATAAAGTGTTTTATGAAATCCTCAGATTAACCCAATAAGGTAGATTTCCTGCCCTAAAGAAGAAATAACTGAAATCTAGTTTGGCTGAGATCTGGAGTCCCAGCAGATGATAAGAATAATCAGTATGATCATAACATATGACACATCTCTATCTATCTATCTATCTATCTATCTATCTATCTATCTATCTATCCATCTATCTATATCCCTTCCACCCTTCCACCCATCCATCCATCCTATTACTTCCATTCTTATTCTATCTCTTCTCTCTATTGGTCACCACCATCTGCCTAAAACAGTCGACATTAACATGAATAGGAATCAGGGTCCTTCTCAAAGGTAATGAAGAATGACCTCACTGAGCTCTGTGTGGTTCCTCTCTTTCCTGGCCCTCAGTGTGTGACCTGCTGAGCTGTGACCTCCCCCCAGTGCCTCCCTGTGAAGGAGGGCTCCAGCCTACCCTGACCAATCCTGGAGAGTGCAGACCCATTTTCACCTGTGGTAAGGCCTCTGTGGGTGCAAGGGTGGGGTTGTCTATGCTCTTTTGGCCTAGGGAAGCTGTCTTCTTTTTTTTATGGACCTAGTCAAAGATCATTTCATTGTATTTCCCAGTCAGCTGAATCTGACTTTGGGTTACATTTGGAACAGAAGGGTTAAAGTCACACACAAATTAACCCCTCCCAGCTGCACACAACTGCAGGTGTGACAGATGTGGGCACACCTGAAAGCAGTAACAAGCACTTGGGTTTGGAGAGGAAAGCTCTATGACTTCATCTGTATTAGTCAGTTTTCCATTACTGGAACAAAATTCCCAACACCCACAACCTAAAGGAGGAGGGGTATATTTTCTCTCACGGTTTCAGTGGGTACAGTCCTTGGTTGAATGGCGTGGTGCAAGGGCATGGTAGAGAAGAGTTGCTTACTTCCTGTCAGCTGAAAGAAGACAGGGAGAGAGACAAAAAATGGGAGAGAGGGAGGGGAAAAAGAGGAGGGGGGGTCAATAATACACTCTTACAAGTCTTGTCCCCAGTGATTCCTCTCTTCTGACCAGGGCCCACCTCCTCATAGCACATTCAGCTGCAGACTTGTGAGTGGATAAATCCACAGTGAGTTTGCTCCTCTGTGATCCAATCACTCAAGAGCCCCACTTAGGAGCATGAGGCTTTGGGGGACATTCTAGCTCTAAACCATAACACTGTCTGTGTTTACTTCTGTGCTTCCTCTGTCATCAAGGGAAAACATGTACCCTTAGCTTCTCTTCATCAATGGATCTTATGTCCAAACAATATGGGTTTTTCCTTCTTTAGTGTTGTATATTAACTACTAAATACTATAATTTTGAGCATAGGATTGACTTACAGTAGGACATGACAAGAGGCAGGATTCTGTATTTAGCTACTGAGAGTGTGGGATCCTTTTAAGTCAAGTGTACTTCTTGTCCTGTTGATTTAGAATCTCACTTGAGCTCCTCAGCACAGAACTTTAAGGGGAGGAGTGGAGAATACTGTAATTGAAGGAAGCTGGAAATAATAGGTAAAGGGCATAGGGTTGGTTTGGCATTGGTAAAATGACATTGTGAAATTGACAAGATTGCTGCCAGTCTTCTATCCACGTGGGAGGCCCTAAAACTGTAAGGTCTTGTTCTCGGCCCAGAGGTGGGGACAAGATCACACAAGCTGCCGGCTTGCTAAAGGGTGGCATTTGCATACGGCATGCCTGGACCCATCTGGGTTTCACCGCTCTCCATGCCATGTGGCTCTGAGTTTGCAGCAGGAAGCAGCCTGTCTCCTCCAGGAGCCCATGGCAAGGTGACTGGCAGGGACCATGTGCAGCCTTCCTGTCCCTTTCGGAAGAACTCCTGGCTCCACATCCGTTCTTTCCACCCGTGTCTCACTTCTTTGTGGACTAACTGCTTTCTGCTGTAGTTGAATATCCTGCCAGCCCCGAGCTGATGGGGTGCGTGTCTGGAGGTTCCCTGGACCCCAGTGTCACAGCTGAATACTCACATGCCATGGCTGAGAGCGGTGCCTAAAGTGGCACCACCGAGGGCTTCAGTCCATGCCACCCTTCAGCCTGCAGGAAGGAGGAGTGCAGAAGAGTGTCCCCGCCTGCCTGTCCTCCACACCGGACGCCAGCATTGCGCAAGAGCCAATGCTGTGACGAGTACGAGTGTGTCTGCAACGAGTGTGTCAACTCCACTGTGAGCTGCCCTCTTGGGTACCTGACCTCGAAGGTCACCAACGACTGTGGCTGCACCACGACCACCTGCCTCCCTGACAAGGTAGGGACTGCTTGGGTCTGGCTGCGTGATGTCCAGATACTGCCCCTCCCAGAGGATCTGCGCCTCCCCAGCCTCCCTGTTCCCTGACCCACCGTGCTCCACGGGCAGGGGTGGGCAGTCAGCATCCCATCCTCCCATTGGAGCTACAGTTAACTCAAAGGCATTTATGGTGAATCTACTATGGAATCATTACTGGGTGCTCAGATTGCAATCGCCGCACATATCTATTATATTTTTAGTTGGCTAAAGACATGATATGATTACATGAATTATTAAGAGATCTGTTAGTAGTTCTCTCATTTATTAATTGCTATCAATTCATCTACTCATCCAATAATGTTCACTGAGGAACTACTATGTTCAAACAGAAGGGTACTGACTGGATTAGGTGCTGTGGGAGAGATGTAAGATGTAGTCACTGCTTACAACTTTCATTAGTGTGTATGACACGAGTCTACAGAGTATAATAAAGTGTAAATGACAGTGTCTAGTAGGGAGAGTCACCAAGATGAGTTGTCATGAAAGGTTGAGTTGGTGGGATGGGGGAGGGGACAGGGTTTAGGAAGGAGCAGGAAAATACTAGTGAGTAGATCTTGAAGTGAGGTTGAAGTCAAAGCAGGAAGACCCGAGCACAGCTACAGCTGCTGGGCTGAGGGTGACTGGCAGAGTGGCCATAGTGATCTTTCCCTGGAGCCCACCAGGTGAGGCCAGGAACTCATTTGCCGCAGACCCTGTTCCATCCGGATGCTCCTCCAGCGCACAGGTTGTGGAGAAGCAGGGTCAGGATCAGGAGGCAGCAGTTGATGCTCCTTCTCACATTTCTGTTCTCTTACTTACTGTGATTTTATTGTAGAGCAACCTCATTCCCATATTTTGGGCCTTTGAGTATTGGAGAGGCTGGGTCATTTGTCCTTGAGAATATTACTCGCAGATTGCTTGTCACGTTGCTTCAGGTGTCCCCATCCTTGCCATCTGTGGGCCTCAAGGGTACACACATGCGTGGCATCTGCTCATTCCTCCTCTGCTCTTGGTCTACTCTTGAGGGCTGGATAGGCGTGGCTTCCAAGTCCGAGGACAGAGCTGTGTCTGTGAACGTGGGTGCAGCTTCCGTGGAACATGGGAGGAGTCAAATGTGTTAAGGCAGAGACAAAACTGGGCCAAGGCAGCCAGGGTGTTGTATCTGGGCCCGTGGATGTGATGGACACATGAGGGGCCATCTGCAGGGTGGACTGGGGCAAGGATGGGGAGAGGACAGAGTCACTTCATGCGCATCCTTCCAGGTAGGCAAAGGCCACATTGGGGTTTATTACTGTTATGCTCCCAGCACCAGCCAAACTTCCATAGTGAAGTGCCTCAGGGAGCAGAATAAACTCACTCACGGAAACCTCGTGTCCACAGGTGTGTGTCCACCACGGCACTGTCTACCCCGTGGGCCAGTTCTGGGAGGAAGGCTGTGATGTGTGCACTTGCACGGACACGGAGGATGTGGTGATGGGCCTGCGCGTGGCCCAGTGCTCTCAGAAGCCCTGTGAAGACAGCTGTCGTTCGGTGAGTGGGGCAAGGCGTAGGGGGCTTATGTGGGAACCACTGTGGTTGGAAAGTAGGGGAAGAGGTCGCCAGAAAGGTGCTTTAGTAATGCCTGGTTCAAAGTCCTCTAAAGGGACACAGGAAAGAGGAAGGTAGGGCTGGGTAAAAAGAAGGAAGGGTGAGGAAAGGATTGAGTGACACCCCTGCGGGTCAAGCCATGGCTAATGGCTATGCCCACTGTAGGCTGTAGGTCCACAGAGCTGGCAGAGCTGGTTTCAGCAGACACAGAGAGGATTAAAGGTTGAGAGAAGACTTGAGCTTTTCCCTCTTGGTCACCCTCCAGACACCACCTTAGCCTAACTCTGCAAACCTCGCTTGCTCTCAACTTTCTATGACTGTTCCAGTTTCAATGCATGATAGTATTTCTGCATAGACTGGCGATTTTCTGACTATGTTTAAAATTTGAAGCCCAGAAAACATAATCAGTGTCCCCCAAATTCTGTTTGTAGTGGTTTGACTTTAAGGTTCTCAATGCTTGCACAATGAAGACACAGCTCAGTCCCTAGGAGAAAGAACAGTGTTCAGGAAGAATTTTGGATCAGGTTCCACTGTTGGCTTAATGCTGACATATTACAACATTTTTATCACCGTCATGGTGAAAGATGAGTTACCAGGGCAGTCAAGGATGCACACCTTGTGGTTGCTTTTGAAATGCTGGCAGCGGAGGCCATGCTTGTAGAGGCCATGCTTGTGCTGCTGTAGAGGTGTACAGGGCAATGGCAAAAGGGAGGGAGGTTCTGGCAGAAAATTCGAGAATGGCGGAGCTATTTAGCCTATCTGCTGCTCTTCGACCTGCATTGCTGGTGCTGTAAGTGGGCGAAATTGCTGGGCACTACTGGGAGGAGAGGACGCCAGGCAATCCGTGTGTACCTTTTGGGAAGACATCACTGAAACCCCTTGACCTCTGCCGTCTTCCATAGGTCACAGGAAGTTATGACAATAGCTTGCTATCAAATAAAGAGGGGTCATTTAAATGAAATTGACATGCAAGGTGTTCTGTATCAGGAGAAAAATTTGATTGCAAAGAGCAGAACCCTCTCATGCTGGATAAAATAAAAAGGAGATGTAAGGAAAAGACAGAGGAATCTCCCAGAAAGGAAGAGAAGGAAATATCGGTGGACAGTAGGGCTGTATGACATTTCTCTCCATTTGTCCATGCCAGTCACCTTTTCTTCTCTCTGTCTGTACACTGCAGCCCCTCACAGAATCTGCTGGGAACACTTCATACTTTCTTACCAACTTCATTTACACACAGTTTTACAGAATCCAGCTCTAGCTTTTCACAGCTTTTAAGATCCAGGACTTGTCGCTGTGCAATCTGACGTATTCTTTGGGTTTCACAGATTAACTTCTCAAGAGGAGAACTGATGGACTCAGCTGAGCCCAGGGAGCAGGATACCCTGTCCTGGGTCTGCTCTGGCCCAGCCAAGTATGGGGAGGGTGTGGGTCACCTGACATGAGCCCATGTAGTCCACATCCTGAGGCTGTGGCTGTTTTTAACAGCTTCAAAAATAAGATGGGTATGGAGGTCAGGGTATGAGTAGAGGGACACATACATCTACAACTCTTGGTTCTGAGATTACTCTAGGAAACACACTTTCCACAAGATTTTCTATAGATCTCCTCTCTTTGTGTCAGAAAAATGATATTGAAGAAGTAAGGAGCATTTCTAGTATTTAAAGCATCCCCATAACTCTTGTGTCGAGGACTTTATTACCGACGTAGCTGAGGTGACACCCAGAGAGGAGACAGGATCATAAGAAATCCCACCAGTGAATCAATCCATCCAAGATTCATCACTAAATGAATTATTAGGAGGTGGGGCCAGCTGGAGGAAGTGGGTCACTGGCAGACTTGCCATGGAGGGTGCATCCTGTCTCCACTCTCTTTTTCTTTCTGGATTGCTGCCTTTCTCTCTGTTTTGTTCTCTGCCTTCCATGAGGTGAACAGATTTCTTTTGCCACCTTCTCCTGCCTTGGAGCCAGTCAACTATAAACCAAGACCTCTAAAACTGTGAAACAAAATAAGTCTTTGTTCCTTGAAGCGAGTGGTCAGGTATTTTTTCCTAGCAGGGGAAAGATGATTGCTGTATCTGACTTTCCAGAGAATCTGATACTTATGCCCATGAGCCCATGGCTTCACTTGCAATAGGAGTTCTTATACGTTTGTATAAGCTGTTGAAGGGTTTTCCTTAAAGGACCTCACTCCTCATGCTTATACCTCAGAATCAGACTAAATCATGGCCTTAGGAACTGTGCTGTGATGCTGAATGTACACTATCATAGGGCCACACATCACTTAACAATAAGCATGCATCCTGAGAGATCAGTTACTGGTTGTATGACTCTAACAGTGTGCTTTTTCTCCCCTAGATGGCATAGGTTAGGTCACTGGCCATGGCCTTTAGATGTGATCAGGAGACATGTGAACAGGGGAGGTGTGAGGCTGCTGTGGCATGACATGTGTTGTCCACCATCCTCTTTCTTTTTCAATAAGTAGAAAGAGCATCCTCTAAAATGCTGATAAAAATTATAGCATAGTCATTTGTTACCAAGTGTTATGTTCTGTACATGGTTGTATGTGCTACACTTTTAAAAACAATTTTATTTTGAAAGTGGTAAAATACAACAGAACAAGACAGAATAAAACCAACTAAGATCATACAGTGAAATTGGTATAGAACTTCACAGCAGGTTACCTGGATAACAGTAATAGGGTATCATAGTATATTTCATTATCTTTACAATAGTTGTTCTTTCAATCATATATATCAAAATGAGATGAAATACAGAACATTATAGAACTTATCAAAACAGAATATTGAATAGAGCAGTACCATTAATCAGAACAGAGCAAAACAGTAATAAAAATATTTGCCTTCAAAGAAATAATAGAAGGAAGTCCCCTTTGCTTGCTATGGTCAACCTCCCAGGAGATGCTCAGATTTCTGGTTCCCATTTGCTAATGGGGGAGGGAGGGGACAGGAGAAGGCGGGTATGTGAAGTGGGATGTTTGACTCTAGGCCGTGCATCAGTAGGTTCAGTATTGCTTAGCAGGGAGGCAGGCTGGTTGTTTGGTTTCACAGCATCCTAAGTTCCAACATGGCGCAAATCTCAGGAGCTGCTGCTGGTACTCCCCCTGGAAGGGCTGCAGTCTGCCAGACCGCCACCGCTTACCAGGGAGGAGAGGTGCTCTGCTACACTTTTTAAATGAATGGCTATGAGGTGAATTTGTTACACAAGCATTTGTCCAAATGTGACAGTGATGTGTTGTGCTGTGAGGTCAGAGAGCCAGGCCATAGGAAACTTTCAAGTCATTGATAACCTAATGGGACCACAGTCATATATGGAGGCTCTTATTGCCCAGAATGTCATTATGTGCTGCACGGTGTTACTTTTCTCATCCTCCTGATAGTCCTCAGAAGGAAGAAGAGGGAGGGCTGTTCTTTTCACTTATCAGTTGGGAGGTGAAGAAATAAGACAGGGAGCAGAGTGGACTGCAGCTCTTCAGATCCTCCGAAGCCAGTCATGACTGAGCTATGCTAACTCCGGGCCCAGGGCCTGTTCTTTTAGGTTTGTGCTACTGGTGGTCCCAGGGATGCTAGGGCCAGTGTGATGTAGGGAAGACATCTGAGGTTCACATTTTCCACTTCCCTGTCAGCTTCAGCAATTGGACTTCGAGGATTGCACTCATAAATAAATTAGGGATTTATTTTTCAGTGACATAAACTGATAGATATTAGTAGATATTAGTTTTGCTTAATTGGGAAACCAGTGAAAACAGATGAAGACAGTGAGGAGAAGGAGATGTGTATTGTGATACAGTGTAGCAAGTACACCCCTAAGCTGGAAGGTGTGAGAAAGCATGTGTGAGTCCTGGTCATGCAGCAGATACATGGAGCTACTGGGGGTGTGGAGGGGAGCTGAGGAGGAGATTTGGTGACATGGAAGGAGCATCGGAGCATGAGAAGTTAATGTGGTCTCTGTGGTCAAGGTGTTGGCTCTTGATACTGACATCGTGCTGCGATGCGCCAGGAGACAAGAAGAACGCGTCCAGCTCACTCAGCACTTGCAGTGAGGCTTGCGGAAGTGACACTGAAGCTCTGAAGGTGTTAATGTCCTCCTCAGGCCTCCCTGGACTCTTTGAGTCTTGTTTGACATTTTATGCATTCTGCCTCGGTGTGGAGTAGAAGCTGTGCAGATTGTATCATCCTAATTTGTTGGTTCCTTGTGCTGCCTAGCACCTCACTGGTGCACAATAAGTGACTACAATCTCCGTTGATAGAAGGCTGGGGACAGCTCACTGCGCACTGCTGTGACGTGGGTAGAGTTGTCAATAGGTCCCACAGAGACGCTGTGAACTTGAGCCGAGTCCCCAGAGGGGCTGTGCCTCTCCAGAGGGAAGGCAGTGTTGCATGCCTCTCCTGATGGGGCCCCCTGCTTGGGAGTGTGCTTGGGGAGCCCTGTAGGCTCGGCATCCGCACCACCCTAAGTAGCCATGGTTATTCCTTAGCTTCTCAGGACAGGGCTCTGAGTTGAAGCCTTGGCCTGGGTTCTTTACCCTTGGCTCTTGGGACAAACATGCTGTCTTTGTCTTTTTTGACTATATATTCTTCATACATAGTTTTCAGTGGAGAGTTTCAATTCAGCTTTCTAATTCTTTGACCAGATTTGAGAACCTTTAAGAGGCAAGATGGGCTGACAAATTCTAGGATGTGAGGGTCCCTGTCCATCTCTCTGTTCCTCACTTGTCTCCGTTTTCCTTTGTAAAGAGTGCTGTACCCACTATACTGTTAGACCGATTTCAAGTAACTCGCAGGAGAAGCCTGCCTGTGCAGAGTGGTGTGGGAGCCCTCTGTTGCTGCGACCGAACATCTGAGACAATAAGGTTAAAGGTTTGGGCTCAGGGTTTCAGAGACTTCTGTCCGTGGTCAGTTGGCCCTGTTGCTGTTGCTTTTGGTTCTCTGATGAGACATAGAAGATGTAGTGGAGCCAAGCAGTTTCCCTCATGGCAGCTGAGAAGGAGGGAGAGAGAGAGAGAGAGAGAGAGAGAGAGAGAGAGAGAGAGAGAGAGAGAGAGAGAGAGGCAGAGAGAGAGAGAGAGAGAGAGAGAGAGAGAGGTGGGCTGGAGTCCCTACACTGCCTTCAAGGGCACAGCCCTGTGACCTAACTTCCTCTCACTAGGACCTGCTTCTGCAGCCTTTGGGGATGTCTAAGATCCAGCCATAACCAGGGTAAGAGGCTGGGCTCAGGGTGCTTATCTGGTGAGGGCTCAGAAGATGAGACCCCAGGCACCATCAGTCAGTGAGGAGCCCTACATTTGGCCACAGCAGAGGTCGGGTCAGTTAGCTGCTGCGTGTGAGCCCTGGATATCTTCAGTACTCTTAGGACTGGATCTTGGTCTTTAGGCAGAACCTGTCACAGGCAGGCTTAGTCTCTTCCAGGGGAGGAGGCCGGGCTTGGTGTCTCAATGGCTGATGCTCCTGAACCACTTCTTGGCATGGTTGTGAGGCCAGTGCACAACAAAGATGAGCCTGTCCAGCCCAGCCATCTCAGCTGTGCCAGGGTGCAGTGCACGTGAAGAACAGATGAGAACACCTGTGCCTTTGCTGCTTCCCTCCTTACGGTTTCTTTTGTGTTCCAGGGCTTTACCTATGTCCTCCACGAAGGCGAGTGCTGTGGAAGGTGCCTGCCGTCTGCCTGTGAGCTGCGAGCTGGGTCGCCACGGGGCGATTCAGGGTCTTTGTGGAAGAGTGTAGGTCTCGGCCCGGGAGAGGGTGGGGAGAAGGATGGTGACTTACCAGCCTGCAGTCTGTTCTGGGCTCAGTGTTTGCTTTGCTTTCATTTTACTCCCTGCCTTTTGCTCCCTTACAGGGAGCTGGTATTCACATTCCAGCTGGGACGCTGTACCCCCTAGGAACTAGTTAAGGCTGCCTCAGACCTCCCCTTTGGTGGAACCCCAATACCCTCCTTGAGAGACACGTGAACTCCGCAGGGATCTGTGGTCTCCTGTTCACTCAGGAATCTGAGGTCACACATCCATGTGTGCTTGGCTTGTGGGTGGCCATCGCCACCCTGCATGTACTATGTGCCTGGCACCTCTGGGAAGCTCCCCTGGCTACCACATCAACCTGGGGCTCAGACCTTAGCACTGATTTCCATCACTGCCCCTCTGATGGTTTGGGGAGGTGGAGAAATGTGTAACCTAGAGAAACAAACAATGGTTCTGTTCCTGAAGTACTTTAAGAATCTGGGTAGGTCCAGCTGCAGCCCTGGGCCATGTTACTGGCCCCTGGTCTTACCTCCTTTTTCTAGTGCAGCATCTCAGCTGCCTCTGCTTTGCCCACGGGTGCTCACTTTGACTCTGGATGCTTATGAAACCATTTTCTAAACACAGAAGATTCCCTCCTGGGGAATTTCAGTCCCTGTGCCTTGATAAGAGAAGTTCTCTGATCAGAAGGCTAAAGTGCAAAGTCCTGGCAGCCTTGGGGGCAGTGCTACGCCTCTGTCTCCTTCAGGAAGATGAGCACACTTGGCTTTACACAGAGGAAGGCAGAGACTTAACAGGCAGCCTCGTCTGCTGCCCAGGCCCTGTAACTTTCTCCAAGGCAGAGGTGACTGAATGACTCAGGAGTTTTCATATGTGTTTCCACCTCCTCTTATGGAGTCCCAGTTACCTGTTTATTTGAACTGAGGCAGATTTTCTCCCTCTGAGCCCAAGTCAAAAGCTAGGTCAGACCTGGAGGTCAGAGCCTGTGCTGTCCTGGTGAGGGTGTGCTGGGTCACTGAGGCTCAGCATCCTGCCCTGCCCCATCTCTCAGCACTCTCCGGGCTCATACTGCCTTGCCCACCTTGGTTTCTGCAGAACACCAGGCTACCTGAGTTTTTCTCCTCCATCACACATCTTCATCTTACCTGCAGGGTCTGGGTGTCAGCAGTGGCTCCTGTGCTGGAAACATGTCAGAAACCAGCAGGGTGATGCGAAAGGTCTTAATAACAGATCCCATGGCCAGGGCTCAGCCAGTGGCCTGTGGCAGGAAGGCTGCGTCCTAGCAAGTTGGTGTGGGAGGGACAGAGAATGGTCACAGGGTCTAGATGTCTTCTGCTGCTCATCTGAAATGGGAAGGAAGTGACCAGGAAGTGAGAGAATAGACTGGGGCCAAGAAGGGCAGCGAGCAGCTTTTGATGTGTCTGAATGCTATCTGCATGGATAGTCCTCCTCTAACATGTTCTCCAGGTCCATGGTCCTGGGCCCTTTCGTTCTCTGCCATGCAGCCAGTCTTTGAGGACAGGATACCTACTGCAAGCCCAGATGCCCCAGTGACAGAATGGAAAGCCACTCAGGCTCTGGCTACCTCCCATCTCTCATATAGGTGGGCAGTAGCACCTGGTGGAAATGGCTGAGCTTACCCTGCATCCCCTCTCTGCCAGTTCACACTGCTGCTTGAAACTCTGAGCTCAGCCTAGGGCCACAGGGTGTGTCCCCTGGCTTCCTTAAGGTGCACACTCAGTGGCTGAAGATGATGGCACAATAGACGGATCCATGCCTCTGAGCCAGGGTCTTGCTCAGGCTGACTTTGACTCGTACTTGCTGTGGAGCTCACTGAAATAAGCCTGGTCAATCTCTCTGTGAGTGTGCCTGGGATGCTGGGCCAGGGGCTCACACCCAGGGCCTGTGCAGCCCCCTGAGAACAGCATACTGCCTCGGGTGCTGGCCCCAGCTGTGCCTGGCACTTTTGTCCCTGGTGTTCTGCAGGTCGGCTCCCAGTGGGCCTCCCCGGAGGATCCCTGCCTCATCAATGAGTGCGTCCGAGTGAAGGAGGAGGTCTTCGTGCAGCAGAGGAATGTCTCTTGCCCCCAGCTGAGCGTGCCCACCTGCCCCCCTGGCTTCCAGCCAAGCTGCAGGACCGTGCAGTGTTGCCCTAGCTGTCACTGTGGTGAGACCTTCTAAGCTGGGCTGGACACACCTCCAAGCTTCTCTTTCCTTTCCTGGCTCCTGAATGCTTTGCTTTTTTAGCAAGTCAAGGAAGATGGACAGGATCAACTGCATGTCTAAGCAAGCAGACACAGAGTAAAATATAACAATTTCTGTTAAGGCACCATGGGCCCAGCCCTATGCTGATGATTTGATGGTTTGACTGCTGTCTCACAGCCTGCTTGAGTGGTAGGACTGGGTTTCTACCCTGAGCACTGGCTCTGGGGATCACCTTTTCCACCACGCCGTGCTGCTCTGCAGGGAAAGGCACTCCAACCGCCACTTTCCACTCTGCTGGCAGGCAGACAGACAGCCAGCAAGAGTAACAGAGGCCAACTCTGCTCTGAATGCTTTGTGAAAGTTTCTTTTGGGACTGAAAATTTTAAGAGCAGAATTTCATTCCTTCAAAAATCTATTCATTCCTTAAATATAAATTCTGATAAACAAGTACCAACCGCTCCTCTGGCCCTGGCTGGATGGTCAGAGTCAGGCAGGCCTGGTTTCTTCTATGGAGGGTTCACAGCACCCAGGGAGTGGGGCGCCATGTAAGGAAGGGCTGAATGGAGATGGAGGAGAAAGTTTTGGTGGAGTAGCCTTGTGCTTGGTATGGGGAGCTGACTCTGCTCCCCCTGTCTCCTTCTCTTCCCTGCAGAGCCCATGGAGGCCTGTTTGATTAATGGCACCATCATCGGGGTGAGCTACTGCCCTCTGCTTGGAGGGAGTGGTAGGGACAGGGGCTCTGTGGGGAGGGCAGGATGGTTCCAAGTCGAGCCTGAGAGGAACTGGGGAGACCTCCTTCTGGTGCACTTTCCATTGCTGTTGGGGTTCCAAGCATCCTGGAACTAGGCAATGACCCTGCTCCACTGCACTCTGTCCCCCTCCCTCTACCCTGGGTGACCATCACATGAAAGCTTTCACTCCTATCCTGTCCATCTGGGGGCAGAAGGGCAGGGAGAAGCCACCAGACCTGGGAGGAGGATTGTGGTGATCGCCGTTGCCCCCTGGGTGGGTGGGAGGTGGCTCAGGGCTCAGAAGGTCCACGTTACGGGTGACAGGAGCCTGACCCAGGGGTTCTGCTTGCAGCTCGGGAAGAGAGTGATGGTCGACGTCTGTACCACCTGCCACTGCAAGATGCGGGCCGGAGCTGTCTCTGAATTCGAGCTGGAGTGCAGGAAGACCACCTGCCAGGCTTGCCCCCTGGTAAGGGACGTGGGAGTGGCACATGCAATGGGACCTCGCAGGGGTCTTCACATACCTTTTGCCTTATTTTCTAATTATGAAATCCAGATGACAACTGTCAACAAGAGACTAAAGGTCAGCTGTCCAAACTCATCTCTGGGGAATAATTACAATTAGGTCATAAATTTTAAGCATTTTCTTCCTGAGTTTTCTTAATCACAATACTTGCAAGGCTTATGATGCTATGTTTATAGCATTTTATCTTCTGAACACATTGAAAGAAACATCACTATCATTCTTTTTTAACATTAAAAATTATAATGTTTCTTTTTTGAGTGTGTTTAAAAATTTTATTGGTACATTTTAGTTATACATAATGGTCACATTCATCATAGGGAATTTGTACCATGACTTATTTTGCTTCTTGTCTTTTTCCCGTTCCTCTCCTCTCCAACTCCTCTTCCCCTCCTTCTTTACAAAAGCCTTCTGTCCATTTTATCCTTCTATTTTCCGGTCCATTCTTTCTTTCACCCCAGCCCCTCCCTTGTTGCCCATCACTATGGTTCTTTGAAAACATTAAAACTTAGTCCAATACTTATCAAATACTGGATATACACAAGCATTGCTTTTGAATGGATGTCTCTTGACATGGACACCCATCTTTGATTACTGGATTAAGTGGTTTAAAATATTTCTGGTTTTCTTTTCTGAGTTATGAAGACTTTGTTTTTCAAATGCTCCTCCAGATGAATTCCATCATTTCTAGTTTTGTAGATGAAACTGTGTGTTTCACTTCTTTTTAAAGTGTGCTTTGGCTTCTATTTTTAAATTTAAAAATAATTTTATTGGCATATAAAACTGTACATATTTATAGGGTGCCATATGATGTTACCACTTTATTTATTTATTTGAGACAGGGTCTCACTATGAGGCTCAGATTGGCCTCAAACTCAAAGCAATCCTCCCACCTCAGCCTCCCAAATGTTGGGATTACAGGTGTGAGCCATCATTTCCTGACACTATTTTAATTATGATTCTAGCCCTACCTCTATAGGATGTCATGAGCCCCTTGTAGGCAGACAGAACCTAAACTTACCAGGAGACCATAACTTCTCCCTCAAGCCCTACTCTAAGCTTCTGCTGTTTTAGGAAGCACTTCTGTGACCCGCATGTATAAACTATAGCAATAACCAAGATGGCGTGAAATGGGGCCTTCTTTTTCCTAGCTTTGTGATGCACTAGGCAGGGGGGAAGGTTCCCTCCCTCTCAGGACTGTGACTTGAACTCAGGGTCTGAGCACTGAGCTACATCCCTAGCCCTTTTAAAAATGTTTCCTTTGGAGACAGGGTTTTGCTAAGCTGCTAAATTGCCCGGGTTGATCTCAGGCTTGTGCTTCTCCTGCCTCAGCTTCCCAGAGTGCTGGGATTATAGGCCTGCACCACTGTGCCCAGCTCAGAGGACACTTACAAGCTCAGTGGCCAGAGGGAGAAGGGACAGCAGGAGAGGATGAAGACAGAATGAGGAGCGTGCTCGGGGCTGGAAGGTCATGTGGGTGCCTCCTATCCTTCTGAGGACAAGGGCAAGTGTTTTACATCTGTGTTCCCTGTAGAGATGCACAGCTCATGCCTGAAGTGAGACTAATCCAGGTAGTCATGGGAGGCACAGCTATGTTTGACAACATGGTTCAGAAAGATTAGAAAGGAGCGAATTAAGTCCGTTCTTTTGTTTTTTCTTTTTAAAATCTCAATTGGTGTTTTAGGATTTGGGGCTCAATATGTGTGTGTTTGGAATGAAGTAACGGTGTCTGGAATTCCATGATATCCCTTTCACCTTGGTTGTCCACTAGATTAGGATTAAGGCAGTGACAGATACAGTGCAAAGTCCACACAGATTCTCTCCGGAGACACAGAAGGCTTTAGCCAGCTTCCCCAAGGGTGTCCGGCACCCTCTCCCTAGCGCCCTCTGGTGTTCACAAAGTGGCATGGTCGATCCTCTCCTAGGCCCCTGGAGATCCTCAGCTTTAGAATCAATCTAGATGCAGGTTTCAAAATATTTAAAACCCATGGCCTTTCCGTGGTTTGGGCATTCTTCTCCCCGCAGCGTATGCCTTTCCTCCCTCTTGAGGACTCCTAGCTTAGCCTTCTTTCCTTGCATCTCTCAGACTTGCTGAACCCTGCCTTAGCTGGCCTGGTTCTAGCTCCTCACCCTCCCTGGTCTCACTGTGCCCTTCTGCCATGACGGGCTTCAGGGAAGGCCCTGGGGAGCCACAGCTACTTGTGCGCGGGTGGGTAGGTCTGCTGAACCGCCTTCCCTGGAGTGCAGCGGGGGAGGTGGAGCTATCGTGGACACCTGAGGAAAAGCGTGAGGAGGAAGACAGGCCGCCCTCCCGTGGGCCACTCAGGAGGCAGAGCCTGGCCCGCCCCGTCTGACCTCAACGCTGGGCTGGTGTGGAATAGTGGGCCTTCCAGGAAAGGGGATGGGGGGCAAGTGGCAGACAGAAGTGAAGCTCAGAAAGGAGAAGCAGAGAGAGCAGGGACTGAGGGACCTTGAACAACTGGGGCCACGTGAAGAGGGGACAGCAGATGGGGCGGGGCAGGTCAGCCTAGCTGGCTGCTAATCAGGGGTAACTGGCTAAGTGAGCTCTGTGGCTGGCTGGGAGCTTGGCACTGTAGGTATGAAGAGGAGGCTTCCTCCTGAAAGGACTCAGGAGCAGGGTCTCTCTCGAGGATGGTGGCAGGTGGCACTCATACCACTGTCAGCAGCAACTGTGTGTCCAGCAGTGCTCAGCCGAGTCCTCGTCTTCCCTGGCAAGGCCTGCTGTGTGCCACACAGGCCGGCAGACCTGGCAGAGGGTCAGCTGCCCTTGTGCTTACTGTCCTGTTCTGCCTTCTCCCTCACCCCTTCTACCATTCTTGTATCAGGCCCAGCGCTGCCCACTGTGTCCCTGGTATGAGCATTTGCCCCACTGCCCCCGTGCCCCTCCTCCCTTGGCTTCCACCTCCCTGCTGCTTAGTGATTCTGTCCATGCTCCTCTCCTGAGGGTTGGAGGAGGGGTGTTTCTGAGTCTCTTCTAAAACTCACTGAAAATGCTCACTCAAGCTCCATGAATTCTATCCCATGGCTAGAACCCTGCTTGTTCTATTTTACTGAGAGAACATTAAAACCACCAACTAAGACTGTGTATAACCTAGTACCTTTTTAGTTCTTTATTTTTTTGCTTTATATATTATGAAGGTCTGTTCTTAGATGCATTCTTTTATCTTCTTGATGAACACATTCATCACTGTGAAATAACTTCCTTTAATTTTGATAATATGCTTCACCTTAAAGTCTATTTGGATATTAATATGCCTATACCAGCATTCTTTTAAAAATTAAAAAAAATAACTGGTGTACATTAATTGTACATGTTGATCAAATCAAGGCAACTAGCATTTCTCTCTAATTGTCATTCCTTTATGTTTGGAGCCTTAGAGCTCCTCGCTTCCAGATCATCATAAAATATATACTAATTTATTGTGAGCTATCACCCCCCACTGTGCTGAGAAATGCCAGAACTTATCTATCTGATTATATTTTGGTACATATTAATCACTTATCTTTACTCACTCCCCCCCGACCCTTCCCAAAGTCTAGTATCATTATTCTGAATTCTAGTGGGATTTATTTTAGCTTAAACATGTAAGAGTGAACATGTGATATTTGTCATGCTGTGTTTGGTTTATTTCACTTAATATACTGATCTCAACTGCATTCATTTTCAATTGAGATTTTGTTTTGCTCATTTACATTCAATGTAATCATGGACATGGTTGTATTTAAATCTACCATCTTGCTTTTCATTTTATCTGGTGTCTTCCTTATTATTTGTCCTAATAATTTGTTGTCTTCTTTTGCTTCAAATGAATTTTGGCTTGTCAGCATATTTTATCCCTTCTTTTAGCATTTTTAGTGGTTTCTCTGCAGATTACAACATGTATGCTTGGTTTCGTTTAGACCTTGGGGATGAAAATTTCAGTTCTGAGGCATAGATTTTACTCCTAGATTTGACCTTTATGGAATGTCAGTGGAAACCTTCAGAGTTTACCTAGGTTTCCAATTGTGCAGGCTTCAGACTTTAAACTCTGTCTCCTCTGTGGTGAATAAAACCAAGATTTCTGAATAGGTCTTTCAGCTGTCTTCTTGGAGATGCCTATGGACATATGTAATTAAGGGGTCCATCATAGAGATTCCATATGGACAGTTGGGGGCTTTGTCTTCCTGACTTTCTCTTTAGAGATTTCCTCTTCAGTTTTTAGCAATTCCAACACTTACAGCTTTAAGTCTTCAGGCGAGTATGATTGTAATTTTCTGCTTGAGTTCCAGCCCTGTGGTATTCCCTGAGGTAAAAATCCAGTTAAACAAGAATCTTGTTCTTCATGAGTCCCACTTTCAAGTATCAAAAAGCTCACAATTTATTCCTGATTTCACTCATCCTTTAGTGCTTTAATCAATTGTTTAAACATTTTATCAATAGTTTGTAATTATTCCTGCAGAAGGGTCAGTCCAATAAAAGTTATTGTGCCATTACAAGAACCAGAACTTCATCTAAAGGTTTTTAAGCAGAAGAGTGACATAAATAGATACACCTTAATGTTATTCTAGCAGGTGTCTGGTGACTTCTAGTGAAGGGGAAAGAATAAAAGCAGGAAGATGAAATAGGGCTATTATCCAAGTTCTGAATGCTTAGACCAGATGACGATAGAGGATACTGGTTATGACAAGCAGTGGGTGAGTTTGAAATGCATTTTGGGAAAGATTTGGCGTTGATTGGGAATGAGGAAAGAGATAAGTGGAGGCGTCAGGGATGATTTCCAGATTTCCAGTTTGAGCAAGTAGGTTATCTCACCTTCTAGCAAGATGAGGGAGAAAGGAAAGGATAATATCTGGAGCAAAAATGAGGTATCACTTTGTGTGTGTATGTATAATGTATATAATAACATGTGTAATTGTTCAGCAGATTGAAATTATGAGCCAGGAACTCAGGGTAGGTGTATAATAGGTCGGACTGCTGCAACCTGAGCGTGATCTGTGTGTAAGGGAGGGGCGACGTGCTGTCTGTGGGCTGAGCCCTGACAGAAGTCAGTTGGAGCTGGGTGGTGAATTTCTGAACCCCAGGTGCACCTTCTAGGTAGGAGAGAAGAGAGGACAGCATGGTAAGCCGACTTGTAACTGGGGTTTGCTGCGGAAGGGGGGCTTCACCATGACGGCTATCTGTCTTGGGCACAGGGTTACCGCGAAGAGAGGAACCACGGTGAATGCTGTGGGAGATGTTTGCCTACTACGTGCACTATTGAGCTGAGAGGAGGACAGACCATGACGCTGAAGGTGGGAGCAAGCTGGGCTCAAGAGCGCCCTGACATTACCATCTGGATCCCTATTTTGGGGTCTTCAAGAAAGAGAAACTTTGGCATCCTTTCCCACTTCTTAATCATTATATAAAGGAAAGATCAAGGACGGTAGAAGGCTTTCTTTTTGATTTAGTTGTTTCATTGCTCGTGATGCAAGAAAACAGCTGGTGTACAGCCTCATGATATGAAGGTGTTAATCTTTAAGATTTTCTGTGGCTTGAGACTAGGCAGGCATCCTGATGAAAGAGATTGCGATCCGCAAACGCCAGAATTTTCTGGTGGAGCTGAGAGCTGCTGCTCCTGGCTCATCTCTCAGTCAGTAATTGGTTACCAGCCGTTTACTCATCCTTTAAGCACTATGTGGTCACCATTATCTGAGGATTCTCTGCAGGTATGCTGCCCAGTAAGTTGTAAAATGGGGGTCCACTTCTACTTCATATTTTGAGTGAGGAGATTTTATGTACATTATCTCCTTCTTGTCCCAAGCTTCTCCAGGTTGTTTCAGTAACTCCAAAAAGTCAGGGCCATGCCTTGGAATTTAAATCTGTTTTTTCATTCACTCTGCTCAATCCCTATCTTTACTTTTAGCGTGATGAGATGCTCCAGGACGGCTGTGATAGTCACTTTTGCAAAGTCAACGAGATGGGAGAGTACATCTGGGAGAAGAGGGTGACAGGATGTCCTCCCTTTGATGAGCACAGATGTATGGCTGAGGGGGTGAGTGACAGTACCCTCTGGACCCTGCTTTTGTCTAGACTGTCTCAAATTGTGACTCCTGGAGTAGGATTCTGAACCTCACAGAATCCAGATTCTCAATGGTTTCCCAGTGTCCAAGGCAGACTTCTGGCCTAGTTGAAGAATTGATGAAATTACAAAACCAAAGACTGATGGAGAGAAAAAATTCTGTGCAGTATAAGATGGTGTGCAAAAAAGCCATTCAGAGAAGGAATCTTGATCCTTCAATAGAAAAGTGAGAGATCAAGCTGATTTTGGTTTCCTTGGGAAGGAGAATCCAGATGACTCAGTCAGAAGTGAATTAAAAATAATCATGGTTGTTTCCACCGGGTCAGGTAGGATGCTCAGTGCATTTTACATCTGGAGTCTTAAGCTCATGGCTGTGAGTCCAGAGCTAGGAGTGGATCCAGAATGACTTGAAAATTATATCCACTATGAACTGTTTGGGTCTAATCTGGGACTTTGCTGTTTTCTTAGGGGAAAATCATGAAAATTCCAGGCACCTGCTGTGACACATGTGAGTAAAAGCTTGTCCCTTGAAAACCATTTGACCCAGTCCAGGCACTGTCCTTTGGAGTAAGGTTTAGGAAGGAAGGTAGTTTTTGGTTACTGGCCAGCCACTATGTTCAGCACAGCAGGGAATCACCTTCTTCTCTGAGTGTCACTAGGCTAACGCTGCTCAAATCCCCTTTCAGTGCCTCTGATCTTCTCCCATTCTCCTTAAACAGTCTTTGGTTGTTCACAGGCTTATCCTGAGAGAAGATCTTCTCCCTCTAACCTGAAGACAGGCACATTAGGTCCATGACCTTGGCAGAGTAGACACTTCCTATGTACCTGCTCATTTCCTGTGACCCTATCTTGTAGACTCTTGGAAAGAAAGGCAAGCAGCTGGTGGGCTATTGGCAGCTTAAGTTTATCATCTCCCTTTCTCCATCCTGGGTCCCTTGGCCTTGAAGTCACATTAACTGGCTCTTATCAATCACAAGAAGTGGTTTTGGAGATACACATCAGCAAATATTCTTCTTACGCATTCTTTGTTCACAAGCAACTTAGAGCGACTTACCTGGACTACCTACTTTTTTCTGTTTTTAGATTAGCTTGTTTTGGATTCATGGGCCCATACCTATTTTCAGGAAGAGAAGAGTTTAGACACGAATACCTTACATATTCAACCATTTCTTCTTTTCTTGATGGGTTGCCTTGACAGTTCCTATAATTGGTGTAGCCACATTGAAGACTGGGAGAAGACATTCCAAAAGCATTTCTTTTTATAGTTATCTTCTGCATGGTTTGAGAATGGGGAGTCAGGAAACGATCAAAGAAGATGAATTCTCTCTAGGACTGTGTATGGAACTTGGTTCAGAGACTGTTATCTACAAATCCAGAGACAAGAGGCCTTTGTTGAATAGTGTGTTTGGGGGCTTTGAGACCTTCTGTAAGGAAAACAAACTAGGCTCAGGGATTTACATCTACAGCAAAAGAACATCCCGTGTTGGTCTAAAAATGTTTTCCTTCACTATCTTCTTAAGGTAGTTGGCATACTTTTCATTTAGAATGAAATTATTCAGGAATGGGAGGCAGGCTAACCTGTGGTTAGGGTTGGTTTAGATCTGGAGCTGTTCCACAGTGGAAAACTCTCACTTTTGGCTGGGGATGGATAGCGAGTTGGCATTGCTGAGCCAACCAGAACTTCAAGCTGCTCCCTGTATGTAAGAAAGTCCATGTTGGCAGCATTAAGGTAGTAATATCCCAAAGAGAGAACGCTGCCTATGCAGGCTCCTAGAGTTTTCTTGACTCCACAGAGTCAGTGACTTTTGCCTTTCCTTTTACTCAAAGACAGATATGGATTTAAGATCAGCCCATCAATTAAAATCATTTTGGCTATTGGTTACTTCACTGTCCATTGGCTTCTGTGTATAGCTATAGGGCGAGGGGCTTGTCTATTGTGTTCCAGCCATTGTGTTTTCTGGAGTCTGCAGTGTATAAAAGTCAGTCCCATTCATGTACACCACCAAAGCACAGTGCATCTAAGCTCCTTCTCCAATTAAATTTATACCGCTAAGTGAGTTAAACCCAGCAATAACTAATTTCTGAATTTGAAGGGCCAGGAGCAGTTGAGGTAAAGCAGGACAGCATCATTCCTGTCCCTACAGCTGGTTTTGGTTATTTGCTGGCTGCGAGATGTGCCTATTTCCAGCTCAGTGGGGAGAACCAGGGCTTAAGAGAGCTGTACAGAACCCCACCCTCTCCCCAAGTTCTGTCTTTCCCTTATCCTGTAGGTGAGGCGCCTGACTGCAAAGACGTCACTGCCAAACTGCAGTACATCAAAGTGGGCAACTGTACATCCCAAGAGAAAGTGGACATTCACTACTGCGAGGTAAGGCTCTGTGGTTTCACCTGGGCTGAGTGGGAAGGGCTGAGTCTCCTGGGTTGGAAATGACACTTCAGTATCTTTAGAGAATGATTCTGAGAATTCGCAAGGAGGGGAGGGAAACATTGTTAAAAATAACTGTTTTACTGAGGCGCTAGAAACTTTTAACCCCTGAGGAAAGACCAAGGAAGTCCTTTGAAGAGAATGAAGAGTCACTTGTGGAAGATGGGACTACAGTTCCTGAAGGTTCACCTGACACGGGGAGCAGATGCAGCTAGAGGGATTTGGGCTAGAGGGATTCTGGGCTTTCCTACAGGACCTGCCTGGCTGTCTTAGCTGTCTCTGGGAACCAGCAGAGAGGATGCAGGGTGCACCAGGGTCCTGCCACCGGGCTCTTCCAGCCTGGACATGTCCCACCTCTCTCCTCTGCACTGCAGGGCAAATGCACCAGCAAAGCTATGTACTCCATCGACATCGAGGATGTGCAGGACCAGTGCTCTTGCTGCTCGCCTGCGCTGAAGGAGCCCATGTGGGTGCCCCTGCACTGCACCAACGGCTCAGTGGTGCACCACCAGGTCCTCAATGCCAGGCAATGCCAGTGCAGTCCCCGGAAGTGTGGCAAGTGAGGCCTGGCTCACCTGACTGCGGCTTGGTCCTCATATGTCCTCCTCCTGTGCCCACCCATGACCACAATAAAGGCCAATGTCTCACGCTGCAAAAGGCTGGTGGCTGCTTAGACTGGGGCTAGTTCCTAGACTGGTTCTGAGGGAAAATGCACTGGCTCTACCTATGAACCCTAAAGGGTCTTCCCGCTCACCACCCTCATCACTGTGTGGTTGGGAGATGTAGTCTAGGGTGGGGGAAAGTTAGGGGGAGAGGTCACAGTGAGGCATGAGAAGGTTGAGGGAGAAGAAAGTGTGTGTGTGTGTGTGTGTGTGTGTGTGTGTGTGTGTGTGTGTGTGTGATAGCAGAGGCAGAGTTAGGGGAGGGGAAGTCATGGAGGGAGAGCATGGGAGGGGACAGACTGGGGTGGAGGGGAGCACAGTGTGGGGGGTGCCATGAGTGAAGGGCACAGAGAGGGCACCGATGGGAGAGATAATACAGGAGAAGGCTTGGTGGGGAGGAAAGAGCAGAATGTGCAGACGGGGCACAGTGTGGAGGATGTGGTGGGCCTCTTTAGAAGCTCAACCTGGTGGCCTGTGGTGACACGCACTGCCTGAGGGAGCCTGAGTTCTCCAGAGTCCCACTGGAGCACTTCTGTGGACAGTGGAGAAGAGGGTCCTCCATCCCATCCAGGCACCCGCCACACAGGTGACGTTGCGGAGAAGGTGTTCGTACTGGTCTGACAATGATCCTGGAGCCTTGGTGGCCCTGAGGAAGGGGGAGCTGTGAAGGCAGAGGGTACCTGCAGGCGGGGTGGCAGCTGCAGGAACTGGCTGTTTCTGTATGAGGCCTGGCTCAACTGCTGGCCTTAGAAAGCCCCTTAATGGCCTCCAGCTTGGTTACCTCATCTGGAAAACTGGAGTGGTTGTTTGACTCATGGTTGCAAATATAAATGACGTCTGCCTAAAATGACACCTGAAAGTCCTTTGGTAACTGTAAATTGTTTTAATGTGAGAAATGGTAAGAATAAAAAAGAAGAAACCAAGTGTGAAAGGCAGGTATCTGTGACTCTAAGGTCAGTGGCTGAGGATTAGGTATTTCCTTCATTGTAAAGGCTGAAAATACTGGTCTTTGGGGAAGAGGCTTGATGTCAAGTTCTTTGGGGTCTTCTGCTAGATACCACAGCCCTGCCTACTTGAGATGTCCTTAGGTGGGGAGAGGTACAGAGAGCACAAGTCACCTTATTCCCACTCACATCTGGTACTGTCAAGCTCAGCTAGAGATTGTCTTTCCTGAAAATATATGAAAAAGTTTATATGTACGCCATATCTTGTTGGGGGGGGAGAGCACTGTAAGAACCAAGTGGGCATCCTAGATGTACTGTAGCTATTTGATGGAGAAAGATTTTCATTCCAAAGAGCTGGAAAGGATTTAGACATCAACCCGTAGTTCCTCTGCCACCCTGTAGGGCTAATGAAAGGACTTCACAGACCTCAGGTGACCGAGAAACATGCAGAATTCTTGTGTCCTGATGCCTAGACAAGAACTCCTGGGTGACCCTGCCAGAGCCACATGATCCCTGTTGCTTATAGATTCGTTGCTATCGTGGGAACCAGCAACTATGGAGTTTCTGCCTTGGACTAAACTCACAGAAGCTCTGTTGTGGGGAAATGGCATAGACTGCCCTCAGTAGGCTTGAAGGGGAGTTTAGTGGTCAGAGGGAAGGAAGAATAGATAGAAGTTTTGTACAACTACTCAATAATTTAAAAGTTGTCCTCTCTCCATCCACCCCACCCCCTTCCCAACTTTGAGGTCTCTTTGGTGGAAACCAGATCCAGGGACAAGGAATTAACTGTCACTCTTCTGACTGATCATCTAACACTCTGCCTGGGGACAGGGAGTTAATAAAGGCATCAGCCACTGAGAAGCTGGATTGGGAGGTAGCTTCTCCATCACAGATTACCACTTTTTCAAAGGCTTTCATGGTGTGAAGCTCTCCTTATAGGTACTGACATTCCATGAAAAAGCTGGATCAAGAAAACTGCATATTTTGATTAAAATCAAGATGGGAGGGAGCTGGATTGAAAGGTACAGCAGGAGGGACAGGTGGAGGTAGTGTGTGTATATGAGTGTGTGTTTGAAAGTGCTTACCTTTATTTACAGATATTCTGAGAGTAGGGTCTGCACCTGGTTTCAGGGACCCTCTGTAATGTTCACCCTTAGCCCAGAGTCCCCCAAAGTGCGTGTTTTTTGAGAGTCTTAAGGCAGAGGTCTGTAGTGTCTAGCAGAAAGAAGAAAGGGAATGGATGAAGAACAGTAGTGGGAAATTCCCTAATCCTTTGAGATTGAAAAGATAGAGGAAGAATCTGAGGAGGTAAACAGAGAGAAAGGCTTTGTTAAGGAGAGAGAAGCTGAACAACAACATGTCATGTGATGAACACAGGTGCTGGGGCCGTCTGCCTGCTTGGGGACATGGGATACCCCTCAGAGGGAGTGGCTTCATCTTTGACACATTAGTCTCATCTGTAAAATGGGCATACTGTAGCAATTAGCTCAGAGTTGTTGTCAGGATCAAAATAACCCATTTAGGGGAGAGCTTTGAGCAGGGAGCTTGGGGATGAGACATAAACACCAGCCATTATGACTCGGAATGGAAGGAATAAAGCCCTGAGTCAGGACACAACACTCTGGCTGCCTGGGGTCTGCCCTGTTCGCTTGGTCCTCTTTACTGTCTCTGGCTCTTGGGTGTAGAATGGGCAGCAGCCATCACTAGCCAACCTTACCAAGATTGGAGAGTAAATCCCTCAAGCACAAGGTCAGTGATTGCAAGTAGCCCAAGCGACAGCACATACTACCTTTGTATCTTCTGCGCTGTGGTATTAACAAACATTCTTTGCTCCAGAGCATTTTGCAGAGTCCATGATCTGGATCTGTCCTTTGGGCATCTAAGGACCTTCTATTCACTCTCCGTAGCCCATCCTAGCTGTCAAGGGAAGCTTATAAAGCCCATCTCTCCTCCTCCCTCTTGTATGCCCTCTTCCTGCCCTTCCTGGGTCCCACATACACCTATGCTTTGGCTCCTGCTCCCTCTGACTTTGATCTAGAAGGGTTCTAGTGGCCAGGGAGTGTAAAGATAGGTAGGATGGGGGCGCCCTGTGTAGAGCACAGCCCTGGCTTTCGCCCAGGGCTATCTCTTGGATCCTGGGTGACTTTTTAGAGCCACAGGAAGGCGGTTTTGTTGGCAGGATTGGAAACTAATCAGCCAGACGGTTCATGAGATAATCCGGATGAATTTTCACAAGCGGACAAGGTTGCAAGGTGCCTGCCAGAGCGGAGGAGTGGAGGAGAGGCCCGCAGGCAGCCTTCACCACCGCGTCGCCCCCCAGCTCCTTGGAGCGTGTCGGGGCTCGCTGAGCGCAGCACTAAGGTCCCTGCTCGACGCCGCCGGGGTCCCTGTGCTGTGCGCCCAGGGCGCAACGGGACAGCGAGGGCTCTGTGGGGCAGCCCAGTGGCCGGGAGGGTTGGAAGGGGAGGAGGCGGCAGGCAAGGGGCGGGAATCTCCACCGAGCTGAGCCTTGCGATGGAATTAGCCGCGCTGCGGGATAAGCCTGTTCAGAAGCCAGCGCGGTCGCGGGCCGCCTGGGGTTTGTACCCGGTGAACTCGCACCATGGCCACCCCTGGTCTATGCGGTAAGTTCTCCCTGCCGGGACCTAGTTCTGAGCACTTATTGGGTTGTAGGAGCGGTGAAGGAGCTGCATTCTAACACCTGTCCTGGGGCGCTGGTGACCCCAAGCGAACCTGGACAGGATGAACGAGAAGCTGGACAAGCCTGGGACCCTTGTGGTTGTTATTATTAATAATCAAGGAGAGAAATAGCCAAGAATTGGTGCAGCGGCTTCTCAGTGGTTGGTACGGATTCCTATCTCAGTTATTTTGCCTCTTCTTGCGACCAGGCCTTGAACTGTATCAGAGGATAAGTAAACAGCCAACCAGAGCTAATTCCATAGCAGTCTGCTGAGGACCACTTCCTTGGAGGGATTTCACCGTTTCAGAAAGGCCCTCCCAGCCCCTACTCAGTCCTCCTTCAGGAGAGCTCTGACATCAGTCATTTCACCTGGGGCACAGGAAAATAGGGGTGCCTTATGAGAGAAGGGCGCTTCTTAATAGAAAAGCAAGTGGAAGTGGATACTGGGGGAGAAAGATGTCCTTCTACGCACCTCCCAAACTATGCTGAGCAAACAGCTGCTTTTGGGCAGGCTTGGCCCCCTTTGTAGTGGGGTTCTCTTGGGTAGTTCTGGAGGGAGGCAGGAGGTAGGAGGTGCCTACTTCTTTGGCCTGGACAAAGAGCAGAAGGGACTGGAAGGTAGGAGTGAGTCACAATCCTGATGCTTTGTGAGCCACTGTAATGCTCACCGGGCAAGAGGTTCCAATGAGCTGGGTCAGCTCTCAGCCCAAAGGCAAGTGGCAGGGGGCAGAAGGGTCTCAAAGAAAGGGTGGCTCTTTCCCTGAGCACTGTGACGCTGTTGGGAAGCTAGGGACCTGTTAGGGTCCTTTGCAGCCACAACTTCTGCTGCCTCAGTTGCCCCTATGTGGCCTGGGGCCATTCAGCTGTCTTGATTGTAGAGAATGTATAGGGGTAGGTTCCAAGTAGGTTCCAGTCCACTTTCTGTGTGTGCCTGTTTTCTGTCTTCCATTGTTGCAATAGTTACAGAGCATTTGGGCCTAAGGTAGAACATGTCTATCCGTTTAAAAATAAAGGCCTGATCTTCTGGAAATCTATTTATCCTGTGGCCGAGAAGCCTGTCCATTCCTTGGCATGACTGTCCTAGAGTGTATGGGATTCTTGCTTTTGGCCCAGAATAGAATCACTCTCTTTGTGATCAGATTCTAAGAAAGTTCTGTTTAAGGAGGGCAGTTTGAACACAGATTTGTGCTCACTTCAGCGGCACAGATAATGAGATCAAACAGACACTGCGCTGAGTGAAGGAATGAGCCATGGATATGTCTGAGGAATGGTACAGCAGAGGAAGCGGTGGTGGAGGATCCTATGGGATGCGAGGGCTTGGATTGTCCCAGGAGTAGTAAGGAAGCCTGGCACAGGGATAGAGGGAGC